TGTTTCTACATTGTACAGAAGTGGTTCATAACAGTCAGTGTACACTTCTCCTTCCTCAGAGTTACACTGACCAATCTCTAAATCTCAATCGTTGTCTTACATTATTTAAAATAAATAAATTAATTAATAAATCAGTCTTGTACTTAATTAACCTTCTACGTACAATTTATCAACCAAACTCTTCACATAAATAGTTTTATAATCAAACTGAGAGTATATTTGTGTACAAAGTATGTTTATTTATGTCTAAACGCAGGATATATACCCTGCCATAGTCACCCTGCGGGGTGTATTTCTCTCAGCGTTTATACGCTGAGACTTTATTTCTCATTTGAGGGAACAGTCTTCTTGGCTGACGATGAAAAGATTTCCCAGCAGCCTCGACACCCCATTAACCCACCTCGACACCCCATTAACCCACCTCGACACCCCATTAACCCACCTCGATACCCCATTAACCCACTCGACACCCCATTAACCCACCTCGATACCCCATTAACCCACTCGACACCCCATTAACCCACCTCGACACCCCATTAACCCACCTCGACACCCCATTAACCCACCTCGATACCCCATTAACCCACTCGACACCCCATTAACCCACCTCGACACCCCATTAACCCACCTCGACACCCCACTAACCCACCTCGACACCCCATTAACCCACCTCGATACCCCATTAACCCACTCGACACCCCATTAACCCACCTCGACACCCCATTAACCCACCTCGACACCCCACTAACCCACCTCGACACCCCATTAACCTACCTCGACATCCCATTAACCTACCTCGACACCCCATTAACCCACCTCGACACCCCACTAACCCACCTCGACACCCCATTAACCTACCTCGACACCCCATTAACCTACCTCGACACCCCATTAACCCACCTCGACACCCCATTAACCCACCTCGACACCCCATTAACCTACCTCGACACCCCATTAACCCACCTCGACACACCATTAACCCACCTCGACACCCCAATAACCCACCTCGACGCCCCATTAACCCACCTAAACACCCCATTAACCCACCTCGACACCCCATTAACCTACCTCGACACCCCATTAACCCACCTCGACACCCACTAACCCACCTCGACACCCCATTAACCCACCTCGACACCCCATTAACCCATTTCGACACCCCATTAACCCACCTCGACACCCCATTAAAGCACCTCTACACCCCATTAACCTACCTCAACACCCCATTAACCTACCTCGACACCCCATTAACCCACCTCGACACACCATTAACCCACCTCGACACCCCATTAACCCACCTCGACGCCCCATTAACCCACCTAAACACCCCATTAACCCACCTCGACACCCCATTAACCCATTTCGACACCCAATTAACCCACCTCGACACCCACTAACCCACCTCGACACCCCATTAACCCACCTCGACACCCCATTAACCCATTTCGACACCCCATTAACCCACGTCGACATCCCATTAATCCACCTCAACACCCCATTAAAGCACCTCTACACCCCATTAACCTACCTCGACACCCCATTAACCTATCTCGACACCCCATTAACCCACCTCGACACCCCACTAATCCACCTCGACATACCATTAACCTAATTCGACACCCCATTAACCCACCACGACACCCCAGTAACCCACCTCGACACCCTATTAACCCACCTCAACACCCCATTAACCCACCTCGACACCCTATTAACCCACCTCAACACCCCATTAACCCACCTCGACACCCCAGTAACCCACCTCAACACCCCATTAATCCAATATCACTAGTGGAAACTGCGTGAAAATCAGCATTGTGAATATTGAATTTACTATGGAGGAGGAATGGGGAATGTGAGTTGGTTACTGACGTCGTGGAGGTCTCTGCAAACACACCTTGGGAGTGTTTATATTTATATATATGATAAATATATAATATATATTATATATATATATAAATATATATATATATATATATATATATATATATATATATATATATTATATATATATATATATATATATATATATATATATATATATGATAGCTGGTGTTGAATGATAGCTCTAGGCCTTTCGTGGTGCAATCAACACACATGAAGATGTGTGCAATGTTACAGAAATGAGTAGGAAGTCCAGGTGGATTCGTCCAGAGAGAAGTCTCTAACTATAATTATTCTGAGAGTTTTTGCAAGCCGATGGAGCTGGATCAGTGGATTGAATTGATGGAATTGACGCTGGAATTTAAAAATACCACAGAATATTATACCGGGACTTCATACCTGGACCTTGTAGGTATATTCTATCACTGGTAGGTATAGATATACCTGAGATAGGTATAACACCTCCCTCGAACACAAGAATCTTTATTAAATACCTTCCTAAGATACGTGGGGAACAGCGACGTTTCGCCCATTGTATTTTCGTCACATTTCGCTCATTAAATTCCGGTAACAAGTGATGATGGTAATATCATGAGCGAAACGCACAGAAGGGACAGGTTCCCGGATGTGGATGTTCTGGGGCAGTGTTTCGCTCTGTCTGCAGCTTTATCTAGTTATGTTTCAATCTGTAGAGCTTTATCATGTCACGTTTCACTCAGTGTAGAGCTTTATCAAGTCATGTTTCACTCAGTGTAGAGCTTTACCAAGTCACGTTTCACTCTGTGTAGAGCTTTACCAAGTCACGTTTCACTAAGTATAGAGCTTTACCAAGTCACGTTTCACTCTGTGTAGAGCTTTACCAAGTCACGTTTCACTCTGTGTAGAGCTTTACCAAGTCATGTTTCACTAAGTATAGAGCTTTACCAAGTCACGTTTCACTCTGTGTAGAGCTTTACCAAGTCATGTTTCGCTCTGTGTAGAGCTTTACCAAGTCATGTTTCACTCTGTGTAGCGCTTTACCAAGTCATGTTTCACTCTGTGTAGAGCTTTACCAAGTCATGTTTCGCTCTGTGTAGAGCTTTACCAAGTCACGTTTCACTCTGTGTAGAGCTTTACCAAGTCATGTTTCACTCAGTATAGAGCTTTACCAAGTCATGTTTCACTCAGTATAGAGCTTTACCAAGTCATGTTTCACTCAGTATAGAGCTTTACCAAGTCACGTTTCACTCTGTGTAGAGCTTTACCAAGTCATGTTTCGCTCTGTGTAGAGCTTTACCAAGTCACGTTTCACTCTGTGTAGAGCTTTACCAAGTCATGTTTCACTCAGTATAGAGCTTTACCAAGTCATGTTTCACTCAGTATAGAGCTTTACCAAGTCATGTTTCACTCTGTGTAGAGCTTTACCAAGTCATGTTTCACTCTGTGTAGAGCTTTACCAAGTCACGTTTCACTCTGTGTAGAGCTTTACCAAGTCATGTTTCACTCTGTGTAGAGCTTTACCAAGTCACGTTTCACTCAGCATAGAGCTTTACCAAGTCACGTTTCACTCAGTATAGAGCTTTACCAAGTCACGTTTCACTCTGTGTAGAGCTTTACCAAGTCATGTTTCACTCTGTGTAGAGCTTTACCAAGTCACGTTTCACTCAGCATAGAGCTTTACCAAGTCACGTTTCACTCAGTATAGAGCTTTACCAAGTCATGTTTCACTCAGTATAGAGCTTTACCAAGTCATGTTTCACTCAGTATAGAGCTTTACCAAGTCACGTTTCACTCTGTGTAGAGCTTTACCAAGTCATGTTTCACTCTGTGTAGAGCTTTACCAAGTCACGTTTCACTCAGCATAGAGCTTTACCAAGTCACGTTTCACTCAGTATAGAGCTTTACCAAGTCATGTTTCACTCAGTATAGAGCTTTACCAAGTCATGTTTCACTCAGTATAGAGCTTTACCAAGTCACGTTTCACTCTGTGTAGAGCTTTACCAAGTCATGTTTCACTCTGTGTAGAGCTTTACCAAGTCACGTTTCACTCAGCATAGAGCTTTACCAAGTCACGTTTCACTCAGTATAGAGCTTTACCAAGTCATGTTTCACTCAGCATAGAGCTTTACCAAGTCACGTTTCACTCAGTATAGAGCTTTACCAAGTCACGTTTCACTCTGTGTAGAGGTTTACCAAGTCATGATATAAACCACCATCTCGGGGTTTAATGTATTTCGGCAGTTTTTCATCAGTGCTTCAGCTCACACCTGAAATGCTGAATGTGTTTCAAAAGCATAAAGTCAAAATGCAAAGGATCTAAATTATGAAATTTGAAACACTTCACCAAACACGGGGTTTCCTAAAAAAAAGTGTTGTACTAGGCACATCACAAATTTTACGTGTGATTTTCCCACAATATAATGTAATTGAGCCAGAAATTAGGTAAAAATGTATATATAAAACGCTTGTTAAGGGTATATACACTGAGGTGTGTGTGTATATATGAGAAGAGTTTACTTTAAATCATGTTTTAAGGGATGTAAGTGTTCTTGAATGATTCTAAGTTTATTTTTCAGGTTTTAAGTTAAACAACGCTGGGATGTTATTATTTTGGGGGTTTTCTACTGCTGTTAGGGACAGTTGTGTGCAGGGAATGAAGCCCCTGGTAATATAGGGACAGGATTCTGCAGGAGAAACTTTTCCTGAGGGAGCTGTGGGCAGAACTCTACAGGGAGGTCATTTCTGAGGGAACCATGAGCAGAACTCTACAGGGAAGTCATCCCTGAGGAAACCATGGGCAGAACTCTACAGGGAGGTTGTACCTGTGGGAACCATGAACAGAACTCTACAGGGGGTCATCCCTGGGGGAACCATGCATAGAACCCTATAGGGAGGTCATCTCTGAGGGAATCGTGAACAGAACTCTACGGGGGGTCATCCCTGAGAGAGCCATAGACAGTACTCTATAGGGAGATCGTACCTGTGGGAACCATGCACAGAACCCTACAGGGAAGTCATCCCTGAGGGAACCATGCACAGAACTCTGCCATAATTTTCAATTTACAACAATTCTCAGTAACAGGCAATGAAACAAGTATATATATATTTTCTTAAATTTTATTTATTAAAGAAACTAAGTAAGGCTTCTTGTGAGTTTCTCACAATTTTCTGAGGAGAGAGAATGATATTCTGATTAATATCCAGCAACATGAAGAAAATATTCCCATAATTTATTATCCATATCTTTCCTAAATGCATTTTTCAATTGTCAAATAAAACAAGAATCATACACTTTATTTTTCACGAATATCTGAATAAATGACAACACGTTAAGGACAGGTATTGAGAATATAATTGCATTTGTTACATTTAAAAAAATCCAAAATTATTGACCTACCTTTACCAGATGACCTCACCGACCGTATCCATATCCAAATCTGGGTCCAAAGCCATAGCCACCATATCCACCAAAGCCACCATATCCACCATAGCCACCATAGCCGCCATATCCACCATAGCGAAGATATCCTGGGTGAGGTAGAGGTGCTGCCTCAGGTCTGGCCAGGACCACCACCAGGACACCAGCCAACACCAACACCATCATCATCACCTGCAACGCAAAACATTCTTTACATCTTCCTCAACATTCTCTTATTTCTGTGTGTTTTGCTTAAAAATTTAATTGATTATTATTCAGTCAAAAAACTCAGAATTGTATTAAGCATGTGAAATGTCAGCAACAGCTGGTCTCAAGACAGTCCCAACTTGTATAAATGCAGTACCAGCTGGTTTCAATACAGAACCAGCTGTCTCAAAATAGCCTCCACTCATCAATACAGCGCCAGTTGCTCTCAACACATCACCAGCTGGTTTCAACACAGAACCAGCTGTTGATCAGTTCTATCAACAAGAGTGTCTGTGTCACTCACAGCTGTGGAGACCATCTTGGCCAGGTGCATGAGTCCTTTTGTCAGGGAGTCACAGTTGACACTGTCCACCACTATGTTTACACCGCCTTTTATACCACCAAACTTAAATCCTCTCAAGACCTTCCTGTCAACCACTAATTACCGACCACTTCACCTCGGGGAGTAAACCCTCTTCTTATTTTGGCACTAGCAGCCAACACTTACGAAATATGTTCTCTAATACTAGTCATCTGTCTCCTTGGTGAATTACATAATACCTCTTTATGTGTATGTATTGTTTTTGTAATTGACTAAATGTTTGTGGGTTTTAAAGTTATATCTGTTTTGTTTACCATATCTGTTGTCTGTTGTCGCTTCTGTTGCATTCATTTTTAGCATATTTAATGCTTTAATCTGTTTTTGTTTACAAAATGTTTGTCACTGCGACTGTAGGGTCAGTTTCCACCTGTGTTGCTTCCTCCTGGTGTCTACCATAATAAATAGTTCTTATTAACACGTCTGTATCCAATAGTATGTTGGGTGCAATGATCCTGTATTTTCTTCGTGGCTTATCGAGGTAAATACAGTAAGGCAGCGTGTCTGTCTCTTGATTAGCAGACGGAGGATCGACCCTCCTCCTTGTGATGGTGCTCCTACCCTTAATTTTATAATCCTCCTGTTTCCCATAGTACTCGCTAGGAGACCGACACTGGACGGTCACTGGACGGCCCTTGTGGACGGTCACTGGACGGCCCTTGTGGACGGTCACTGGACGGCCCTTGTGGACGGTCACTGGACGGCCCTTGTGGACGACCAACTCCCTCACCCTTGTACATGAATGGTATGCAATACCAACAAGATGAAGAAAAAAGCACATATGCAACATCTGGGAATCTTTATTTGTAGACGTTTCGCCATCCAGCGGCCATATCAATACAAAAATCAATGACATAATGGGAATACTGTAGAACTATATACAAAAGACGAGGTAATCAGCCCCTCGGGCTTGGAGCTGGTGAAGAGCACCGTACTCTTGAAGAATCTGAAGTGCTGTTCCAGTCCTGCCTGGAAGGCACCTCACCCTTGGCTCGCCCTTACCAATGTCTGCCTGGAGAAACCCATCTACCCAGTATACCGCGTCTAGTCTACTTGAGTTTATATTATCCTACCCAACTCCTGACTCCCCCCGCTACCTCTATGATTCAGCCGGTAAGCTCAGACAAGGTGGACTCTCCATACAAGTTACCGTCCACACTAAAATACCGTTATATCCTCTACTAATTACCCCGCATCGCTTGTGCAAAATGTCCTCTGTGAGAATAAGGCATACATGAATAATCAAGTTATCTATTGAAAGAAACGTTTCGCCTTTTGTGGATTTATCACTCCCAATACTGAGACAGTTCAAAACATTTATTTATGGGAGAGAGAGAGAGAGAGAGAGAGAGAGAGGAGCTAAGGTGTCACTCAGATCACTTGTTAGACAAGAGAAGGCGAGGCTTGAAATTGAAAACAATCTGCATTAAATATTTAGACTGAAATAAAGTGATATTACGTAGTTGAGGTCAAGGGGTAGCAATTAGTGGTTGTGGCTGTGTGCCAGGTCGTTGGTTGGTGGTATATAAGGTGGTGGTGACGGCTGGTGGACAGTGTAAATTGTGACTCTCTGACAAGAGGACTCTTGCACCTGGCCAAGATGGTTTCCACTGCTGTGAGTGACACACACACTCTTGTTGAGAACACTGAGAAACAGCTGGTGATGTGTTGAGACCAGCTAGTGCTGTGTTAAAACCAGCTAGTGCTGTGTTGAGACCAGCTAGAGCTGCGTAGGGAACTTCTACTGCCGTTTTGAGATCACACAGATTCCTTTTGATCTGCTGACATAGCATAAGTTCTGAAGAATGTTTTGTTTTGCAGGTTATGATGATGTTGGTGCTGGCTGGTGTCCTGGTGGTGGTCCTGGCCAGACCTGAGGCAGCACCTCTCCCTGGATATCTTGGCTATGGTGGCTATGGCGGCTATGGTGGCTTTGGTGGCTACGGATTGGGCTATGGCGGATTCAGCTATGTTCAAAGATATGGTTACGGACGATGAGGTCAACAAAGGCCATTCAAAGGATACAGAAAAAAGCCCTGAAACACATTGCCATCTATCATAGCTTTCAAAAAAATACATAGTTATGCTTTTGTTTCACTTTATTATTAAAAGTTTCTCTAAAAGACTTTTGTTCCGGATGTAAACTGTTCCATGTATGTTCATATTGAACCAATAAACAATAAGGCTGGAAATTAATGTTTGTTCTCTTATTTCTTATAAAATTTGGGAAATCTATTAACAGTTTTTTTAATAAATGTGTACATTAATACTGTGTTTCATTATCTGTTACTTAGAACGTTTGTAAATTGTAAACCTTGATCGAGTCCTGCCTCTGGCTCCCTCGGAGACAGTCTCCCTGTAGAATCCTGTCCTTGGATCCCTCAGAGAAAATCTCCCTGAAGAATCCTGTCCCTGGCTCCCTCAGGGAGAGTCTCCTTGTAGAATCCTGTCCCTGGATCCCTCAGAGACAATTCCCCTGAAAAATCCTGTCCCTGGATCCCCCAGGGACAGTCTTCCTGTAGAGTACTATCCCTGGATCCCTCAGGGACAGTCTCCCTGTATGGTACTGTCCCTGGTAAAATCATAAAATTCCACGAGGATAACTGTTCCATCTGTGTGATGCAATAGTCAACTTCTGATCATAAATACATCAGTACAGGAAGACATAACAAGTGGCGTACCACAGGGGTAAGTGTTGGGACCACCTCACCACACCCTGAATAATGTCTTTCGTAACCCTCACATTATTTTCTGATCCCTATGCTGCGAATTCTTTGCATAATATTTACGCCACAGCTGCTCCCATACTGGACATGTTTACTGTTTCAAGTTTCCTCTTCTACCATACCTCATCCTCGACTATGCCTCATCTCAAAATAATGAATCTTAACTAGTCATAAGTTGGCCTGTGATACTCCAATACTGAAACTATGTATAGTGCCAAAACAAAAGCATTCACATTGCTAAACTCACAAACTAGTATTTAGTCACTTAGCCATAATACCAACTTACCTCATAATTTTGTAATATTTTAAACTTAAGATTTAATATAAGTCTGCCCGAAATGCCTAGCCATGCTAGGTGTTCTAGTGGTACACTCTGTAATTATTATTTTAATACATGTAAACCACACAATAACCAAATTCTGTAAACTCAGCATTGTAATCCTTATAGAGAATAAACTTTGAATTGAATTGAATTGAATTGAATGCCTCATCCTGGACCATGCCTCATCCTGGACCATGCCTCATCCTGGACCATGCCTCATCCTCGACCATGCCTCATCATCGACCATGCCTCATCCTCGACCATGTTTCGTCCTTGGCCATACCTCATCCTGGACCATGCCTCATCATCGAAAATACCTCATCCTCGACTATGCCTCATCCTGGACCATGCCTCATCCTGGACCATGCCTCATCCTGGACCATGCCTCATCCTCGACCATGCCTCATCCTCGACCATGCCTCATCCTCTACCATGCCTCATCCTCGACCATGCCTCATCCTGAACCATGCCTCATCCTGAACCATGCCTCATCCTCGACCATGCCTCATCCTCGACCATGCCTCATCCTCGACCATGCCTCATCCTGGACCATGCCTCATCCTGGACCATGCCTCATCCTGGACCATGCCTCATCCTGGACCATGCCTCATCCTGGACCATGCCTCATCCTCGACCATGCCTCATCCTCGACCATGCCTCATCCTCGACCATGCCTCATCCTCGACCGTGCTTCGTCCTTGGCCATACCTCATCCTCGACTATGCCTCATCCTCGACCATGCCTCATCCTCGACCGTGCTTCGTCCTTGGCCATGCCTCATCCTCGACCATGCCTCATCCTCGACCATGCTTCGTCTTTGACTATGAGTCATCCTCGACCATGCCTCATCCTCGACCATGCCTCATCCTTTACCATACCTCATCCTTGACCACTTGGAAGGTCCTGGAGGGATTGGTACCAAACCTGCACACGAAAATCACTCCATATGAAAGCAAAAGACTCGGCAGGAGATGCAACATTCCCCCGATGAAAAGCAGGGGCGCCACGAGTACACTGAGAGACAACACAATAAGTGTCCGGGGCCCAAGACTATTCAATTGGCTCCCAGCATACATAAGGGAAATTACCAATAGACCCCCGACTGTCTTCAAGAAGGCACTGGACAGGCACCTAAAATCAGTACCTGACCAACCGGGCTGTGGTTCGTACGTCAGCTTGCGTGCGGCCAGCAGTAACAGCCTGGTTGATCAGACCCTAATCCACCATGAGGCCTGGTCTTAGACCAGGCTGCGGGTGCGTTGACCCCCGAAACCCTCTCCAGGTAAACTCCAGGTAATACCTCCTCCTCCTCGAGCACTCTACACAGAGACCTAAGCACTCCATCTATCCTTCCTCCCCCGTCATCTATTCTCCTGTTTCACCTAGTCTTTCAAAGACTTTCTCCTCCTCCTCTTCTTCTTCTTCTTCTTCTTCTTTCTGGTTCGCCGGTACTGTCCCGGTCCGGGTCTTTTCCAGACGGTGACCCGGTGTTCCAAAGACATCTGCCGACACGTCTACTCGCTAGTCTAAAAACATTAACATCTTCCAGTCTCAGCTATTTCTCCATTATCAATTTTTTCACCATTTTAATCTTTTCTGTGTTTATTTTGTTTATTCCTTTTTATTTCTAGTTTATTTTGGGTATTTTTTTTTGTTTTTGGTTGCAGTGTTTAGGTCGGTGTTCAAAATATGAATATGAATTGCTAGAGAAAAATTTTGAATATTTTTGTCTAAATTCATCTGGAGAGAAAAAAATTATTTCACGGTTTTATTTATAGAAGCAAAATTTTCAGTACGACAGAATAAATTTTATTTTCGTTTATTCGCGTCCAAATTAATGTCAAAATGGCTATTAAAAAATATTTATGGGTAAGAGAATGAAAAGAGGTATATACATTTAATTTTTTATTATAAATAAAGTTATATACACCGAGAGTTTACTTTAATACACATTGAGGGTAATAAAGTGTTCTTGACAGGTTGAGTACAGGTGAAAAGTTGAATAAACTTGTTATTAAGAGTACATGGCTACTGATGTTGTCCCACGTACGTCAGTGTAACTCTGAGGAAGATGAAATAACACTGGTTAATATATACCACTTCTGTCCGTCATACACACACACACACACACACACACACACACACACACACACACATACACACACACACACACACACACACACACACACACACACACGGGTAGGTATTCAAAGAATATCAATTTTGATATAATAAACTAAGTACACAAACTCTCTTTCTCTCTATATATATAATTATATATATATGTCGTGCAGAATAGGCAGAACTTGCGATCTTGGCTTAAATAGCAACGCTCATCTTGCCATATAGGGCAAGTGAAAATTTGTGTATGCAATAATTTCGCCAAAATCATTCTGAACCTAACGAAAAAAATATATTTCACTGTGTTTGTTTAGTATTAAATTACTGTAAACAAATCTAAAATATATTTAGTTGGGTTAGGCTAAAATAAATTGTTCTTGTTATAATAAGGTTAGGTAAGTTTTCTAAGATTTTTTTGGTGCAAAATTAAATTTTTTTACATTAACATTAATGGAAAAAATATATCTTTAAACGTATAAAAGAGAATTTCAGAAAGGACTTAATTTTAAATAAGTTCTTGCTAATTTACCAGTTTTACATATTCGGCACGACATATATATATATATATATATATATATATATATATATATATATATATATATATATATATATATATATATATATATATATATATATATATATTATATAGTCCGCTCAACTGACCTGACATTAACCTCAGCGTCCGTATCCATAAAATCCACGTCCAAATCCATATCCGCCATAGCCACGTCCAAATCCGCCATATCCACCATATCCACCATATCCACCATAGCCGCCATATCCACCATAGCGAAGATATCCAGGGAGAGGCAGAGGTGCTGCCTCAGGTCTGGCCAGGACCACCACCAGGACACCAGCCAACACCAACACCATCATCATCACCTGCAACACAATACATTCTTCAAAATCTATGTTAACTAACAGATGTAAGAAAAAAAATTTCACATGATATCAAGAAAACATCAAGAGTGTCTGTGTTACTCACAGCTGTGGAGACCATCTTGACCAGGTGCAGGAGTCTTCTTGTGAGGAAGTAACAGTTGATACTGTCCACCAGCCGTCACTGCCACCTTATATACCACCAAAAAACAACCTGACACGCGACGTTAACTACTAATTGCTGTCACCTTGACATGAAGTGTGTCATGTCTGCTTATTTTAGTCTGTGATTGTATACACCCGCCGTTACTGACCATCTGTTGTCTTAGAATTACTTCGTACGATAGTATTCTAGGTACTCACACACACGCACCCAGTATTACTGATAATATGCAGTATTACTGATAGTACACACTACTAATGATAGTACACAGTATTACTGATAGTACAGAGTATTACTGATAGTACACAGTATTACTGTCAGTACACAATATTACTGATAGTACACATTGTTACTGACAGTACACAGTATTACTGATAGTACACAGTGTTACTGACAGTACACAGTATTACTGATAGTACACGGTATTACTGACAGTACACAGTATTACTGATAGTACACAGTATTACTGACAGTACACAGTATTACTGATATTACACAGTGTTACTGACAGTACACAGTATTACTGATAGTACACAGTATTACTGACAGTACACAGTATTACTGATAGTACACAGTATTACTGACAGTACACAGTATTACTGATAGTACACAGTGTTACTGACAGTACACAGTATTACTGATAGTACACAGTATTACTGATAGTACACAGTATTACTGATAGTACACGGTATTACTGACAGTACACAGTATTACTGATAGTACACAGTATTACTGACAGTACGCAGTATTACTGATAGTACACAGTATTACTGACAGTACACAGTATTACTGATAGTACACGGTATTACTGACAGTACACAGTATTACTGATAGTACACAGTATTACTGACAGTACACAGTATTACTGATAGTACACAGTGTTACTGACAGTACACAGTATTACTGATAGTACACAGTGTTACTGACAGTACACAGTATTACTGATAGTACACAGTATTACTGACAGTACACAGTATTACTGATAGTACACGGTATTACTGACAGTACGCAGTATTACTGATAGTACACAGTATTACTGATAGTACACAGTATTACTGACAGTACACAGTATTACTAATAGTACACAGTATTACTGATAGTACACAGTATTACTGACAGTACACAGTATTACTGATAGTACACAGTATTACTGACAGTACACAGTATTACTAATAGTACACAGTATTACTGATAGTACACAGTATTACTGACAGTACACAGTATTACTAATAGTACACAGTATTACTGATAGTACACAGTATTACTGACAGTACACAGTATTACTAATAGTACACAGTATTACTGACAGTACACAGTATTACTAATAGTACACAGTATTACTCATAGTACACAGTACTATTATTGATAGTACACATCATTACTGATAGTATGCAACATGTAAAGTGTTACACTTGTGTTGTTCAAGAGGCAGGTAGCATGGTGGGATCTTACGTACCAAGACTCATAAAATCGTACCGTGGTTTATCTTACGTACCTTAATGACCCACAAGGATGTAAGAAAGTATTTCTTTATGGAATGACAAGACTCAATCATGTCCCTCGATGGTTAGGTAAACAGAAGGGGCCAAGAGCTGGAGATCAACCACTCTCCCTCCCCCCCCCCAACTCAATTAAGTAATTATTAATAGGTAAAAGCGTGAAAGCAAAAAGTACGACATAGAAGAATAATTCACAGATATAAATAATGGAAAAGGCTTGGGAGAAAACATTACACCTAAGCTATCTCCTGTTAGTAGACGGTGGATAACATCGGTGGGATATAGCAGACTGACAAAGCTGAGAAAGTAACAATTGTATGTACTATTCTCCACGTATATAAGACCACTACTCGAATACGCAGCAACAGTTTAAAGCCCATAGAAAGAAAAATTTCAAAATCTCCCAGGATTTACTATCAGATTGGTACTGAAATTGAAAAAAAAAAACACGTTTTAGAAGAGACTATATGAAATGAACCTCAGCCATGCTGCAAGATAGGGAGGAGACATGATCATGACATGAAAAATATTCTGGTGTATACATAGGGTGGGCTAGGAGAAGGGGGCAGCCAAATGAACCGTAAAGAAGTCAATAAATACACCAATAACCTCTGAGTAATACAGAAATGGAATTGAATAGCGAACTACTTAATAAAGTATAAAGGATTAACAGCTTCAATATTATTATTATTATTATTATTATTATTATTATTATTATTATTATTATTATTATTTTTATTATTATTATTATTATCATTATTATTATTATTATTATTATTATTATTATTATTATTATTATTATTATTATTATTATTATTATTATTATTATTATTATTATTATTATTAATTATTATTATTATTATTATTATTATTATTATTATTATTATTATTATTATTATTATTATTATTATTATTGTTATTATTATTATTGTATTATCGGGAAGCGCCAAACCCACACGGGCCTCTCAGCAACAGACGCAACAGACACAGAAAACAACAGAAGACAGATCTGGGAGGTGTGTCTCAGAGCTGAGGCCACAGATGAAGTCCGGTAATTACGCACCAAAATAGAGAAGTACGCATGGCAAAGTGTCGCCATTACATAACCCGCGAGAATATATTTCGTAATCTTTGAATGCTGGACAGTAATTAGTGGTTGACAGGAAGGTCTTGAAGGCACCGTAAGTTTGGTGGTATATAAGGTGGTGCTAACAGTGTGGTGGACAGTGTCAACTGTGACTGCCTGACTCTAAGAAGACTCTTGTATCTGACCAAGATGGTGTCTAGAGCTGTGAGTAACACATATATATACTCTTGATATTCAGTTGATAGAATGCGTAATCTTTCTTTCTACGTATACTATTTATTATGATAGGTAGTGAAGAATGTTTTGTGTTGCAGGTGATGATGATGGTGTTGGTGTTGGCTGGTGTCCTGGTGGTGGTCTTGGCCAGACCTGAGGCAGCACCTCTACCTCACCCTGGATATCTTCGCTATGGTGGCTATGGTGGATATGGTGGATATGGTGGCTACGGCGGCTTTGGTGGATTTGGCTTTGGACGAAGATTTGGATATGGACATGGATACGGACGCTGAGGTACCCGATACAAGTAGGATAATAAATCAGGAAAATTATTAAAATCAAATAAATATTTCTCCTGCCTCACCTTCCATCTTACCAAAAGACCAATTTTAAATATTTTATACAAACTTTTAGTTCAAATACAAAACGCCTCTGGAAAGAAAATTATGAAACACAAAGTACAGAAATATTCCACGCAAGTTCCCGCTGACACAGCGTCCTTAACTTTGTCCTTAACTTTGTCCTTAACTTTGTCCACAAAATAAATATATAAAACTATATAGAAATAATTGTTTCATTCCCAGTAACCAAGAACAGTTGTATATATATATATATATATTTTTTTTTTTTTTTTTTTTTTTTTTCAACAAGTCGGCCGTCTCCCACCGAGGCAGGGTGACCCAAAAAAGAAAGAAAATCCCCAAAAAGAAAATACTTTCATCATCATTCAACACTTTCACCACACTCGCACATTATCACTGTTTTTGCAGAGGTGCTCAGAATACAACAGTCTAGAAGCATACACATATAAAGATACACAACATATCCCTCCAAACTGCCAATATCCCAAACCCTCCTTTATATATATATATATATATATATATATATATATATATAATATATATATTATATATATATATATATATATATATATATATATTATAATATATATATATATATATTTATTATTAATATTATAGGTATAGGTTGGTAGACAGCAACCGCCCAGGGAGGTAACTACCGTCCTGCCAAGTGAGTGTAAAACGAAAGCCTGTAATTGTTACATGATGGTAGGATTGCTGGTGTCTTTTTTTCTGTCTCATGAACATGCAAGATTTCAGAAACGTCTTGCTAACTTCTACTTACACTTAGGTCACACTACAATACATGTACAAGTCACATATATACACCTTTCTGGTTTTCTTCTATTTTCTTTCTAGTTCTTATTCTTGTTTATTTCCAATAAAATCCCATGGGGAAGTGAACAGAATTCTTCCTCCGTAAGCCATTGCACGTTTGTAATGAGGCAACTAAAATGCCGGAGCAAAGGGCTAGTAAACTCTTTCCTGTAAATATTACTAAATGTAAATGCAAGACAAACTTTCGTTTTTCCTTTTGGGCCACCCTTCGTGGGATACGGCCGGTGTTTGAAAGAAAGAAAGATGTATATATATATATATATATATATATATATATTAATATATATATATATATATATATATATATATATATTTTATTATCACACTTGCCGATTCCCACCAAGGCAGGGTGGCCCGAAAAAGAAAAACTTTCACCATCATTCACTCCATCACTGTCTTGCCAGAAGGGTGCTTTACACTACAGTTTTTAAACTGCAACATTAACACCCCTCCTTCAGAGTGCGGCACTGTACTTCCCATCTCCAGGACTCAAGTCCGGCCTGCCGGTTTCCCTGAATCCCTTCATAAATGTTACTTTGCTCACACTCCAACAGCACGTCAAGTATTAAAAACCATTTGTCTCCATTCACTCCTATCAAACACGCTCACGCATGCCTGCTGGAAGTCCAAGCCCCTCGCACACAAAACCTCCTTTACCCCCTCCCTCCAACATTTCCTAGGCCGACCCCTACCCCGCCTTCCTTCCACTACAGACTGATACACTCTTAAAGTTATTCTGTTTCGCTCCATTCTCTCACATGTCCGAACCACCTCAACAACCCTTCCTCAGCCCTCTGGACAACAGTTTTGGTAATCCTGCACCTCCTCCTAACTTCCAAACTACGAATTCTCTGCATTATATTCACACCACACATTGCCCTCAGACATGACATCTCCACTGCCTCCAGCCTTCTCCTCGCTGCAACATTCATCACCCATGCTTCACACCCATATAAGAGCGTTGGTAAAACTATACTCTCATACATTCCCCTCTTTGCTCATCAA